CCCCAAAACCCCAAAACCCCAAAACCCCAAAACCCCGTTTGCTTGCAGATCAATTGAATTGAGATAGACAAGTTTTTGATGGCTTTCAATCAAGTCTTAGTCAATGATACTACTTCCAGATTCATAATAGGCTTGTTTTGTGATACAAGCTTGGGAGAATGATGAGAGTTTAGCAAGAATTGATCCACCTTTCCATGGTTGATATTCTCTTCTTCCACCACAAATAATTCTAACCTTCGTTCCTTCCGGAGCCAACTTTTTAATTTCACTATAAACTCTTTCGCCAAATCCTTCGAACATAGAATTTCCTCCGGATAAAACAATATTATACCATAATGCATCCCTAACTTCCTCATTGCAAGCCATAATTCAATCCTCTATCAAATATTGAAGTGCCTTACACCTCCCATCAAGCAAGCTAGGGTTGAACAACAACTCAGGGCACTGGGCTATCTCCTCAGTGACACTGATGCTTTGACCATCTGGCAACTCAAAGGTTTCCATCAGGTTTTTCTCTTTCAGCCTGTTCTGAAACTCTTGGTCATAATCCTCAGCTAGGAATCAGGCCTTTTCCTTCATAGTTCTGATAGCTTCCTTACCAGCCCTGGTTTCGTAATAGGAGTCTTCTCCAGAAAGGATCCTGACCATGTGCTCTGTGAGGTGATCTCCTGCAAGAGGGACTATAATTGTGGATTCTGGGATTACTTTTCCTTCATAGATTGCGACAATTTTAGTGATAGCGTGTCCTGAATCAACTATAACTCCTGTGGTTCTTCCAACAGAGAATAATGCAGTGATAGCACTGTCTCGAATGCTTAAGCTTGGCACATCAAAGTTTCCAAAGAATGTGTTGCATAGGAATTCTTCTTTTTCTTCTAGTGGGCTTTGTGAAGGCTTTATCACAACGACTGGTTGAGCTGAGCTATAAACATTAAGCTCCTTCCAGAAGATATGATCTGTAATTGCATCAAAAGAAGGTTCGTTCACTATAATACCGTTCTGTATTGGCTGAATAATTTTAAAGCGAGATGCTCATTTAAGCACTTCATTTCCAACATAAACATCCCCTTCTGTTGCGAATATGTTGATACGTTTACTCTTACCAACCAAATTTCTCACTTCAACACTTGGTTCTGTCTGATTAGCTAGTCCGGCCTTGATAGAATAAGTTCCATAATCTATCACTACTGGAGAGACTTCTTCTTCAAAACAGCTCATTATTAATTACTATCAGTCCTCAATTTCGGTTCTTAAAATAGGGGTTTTGGGGTTTTGGGGTTTTGGGGTTTTGGGG